ATTAAAACTGTCCAGATAGTAATTAAAACTTTACAATGTCCATTTCTGTCTTAAATATAGGACTATTGGCTATATATATGTAACTGGCGAGACAAACCATTTTTATTTTATATTAAGTGTATACATCATTGTATATACATATTTACTCTACAGAATAAATACAATAATACGCACCAGGACAATCTTATTGATGGAATTTCGTTCTCTGAACTAGATGATTTAGTTGTCCAGCTCAGAGAATTAAACTCCATCAAAATTATCCACCTATCTTCCCCACCATCTCAAAGACAATCTTAATTACATAAGCATATAGATATGTATGTATATGTAAACATACAAAAAGTATGTATACATAACTATAAAAGAAACAACAAAAAGTATATTTAATAGATGTGTGTACGTGTTAATTTTTACTCTATATTCATTATCATTACTGTCGTCTTGATTATATCATCTAATTGTTGTTTTTTTATTTGTTTGTTTGTTTTTCATTTCGATCATTTTCGAATTTTGTATTATGAAAAACAAACAAACACTTAAAACATTCAATGTATAATAGTTGAAGTAATTGAAAAAAAATGTGTATAGTGAATTTGAAAAGGGTCTGATAAAAGATGCTCAAAAGATTTATGACATCAATGACTCATTATGATAGACAAACATATAGGCTAAAATACACCCCTATTCATATATATATATATATATATATATATATATATATATATATATATATATGTCTACACACATTCACTTGAATTTAAGCATCTATCTGCATAACTTAAATAATTTGTATTAGTGATATTATAGACAAATATATAAATGTATTTATGTATATTGCGTCTACTTCGTTGTTAATTCAAGTATAGATTATATTTTGGTAACAAAAGATAGATAGAATTAAATATTTTCAGAATAAAGGGGGGGGGGGTGGTTGTGGTGATGTCATTTAATAGTTGAATTTATGAGTTGATTAAAGCTAGACTACCATCGAAAACCTGGGAGCACTGGACGATCGTTTTGTTCTAGTATGGGACTCCTAAACAGTGAGCATCCATGATCCTGTATGCGGGTTTTTCATGGTGGTCTAGCTTTAATTTACTCATGAATTCAACTATTAAATTACTATGATCTCCAGAAACCATCATTCTAATAATAATCATCATGTGTTCACTAGTGACTGACTTCAAGAGGTATTTTCTGAAGTTCTAGTGAGGAGCTAGGACCAGTGGTGTTCAACCGTGTCTGTTGTAAGACAGTTACTTACTGAAGACAATTGTGGATGGTGGCGCAATATCGTGGACTGTTTGAAGTTAGACCAACACTGTTGTATGCCGGCTCAGTGGCCTGGAATTTAAGCGTTTTCACAAAACCGAATGTCTTGAGTCCGAGTCCCATGTGTGGGATCATGTATACTCACTGTCGAAGAGTACCATACTAGGATGAAACGGCTATCCAATGTTTCCAAGTTTCCCATGGTGATCTAACTTACATTGACTCATAAATTCAACTATTAAGTTAAATCTTTATTGATTTCAAACACAAAAAACATAATAGTAAAGTGATAGTTTTTATTTTGTAACAGAATTATTTAATCAAGATGTTTTCATTGTGGATTTCTATAAAAGTATATCGATTCATTATAAATTATGCATGGAAAATTTACTAAGGTATTTAGTGAGATAAATTCATCAGAATGTGATTATGCATAATTAGTTTAAATATATTCATTTCTTTGTAAACTAATAATTACTACGGTAATATGATTCTTTTGGACAAGTTCGTCTTTAAAACTATAATCGTATATAAATTGTCTACTTTTAAGTGGTATTCGTCTTGGACGACACTTAGGTAGGGGTCTTTCGTCATAATACACAGTTCTATAATCTCTTCATGAACTGAACTCAAGAACATTAGGCTTGATAATTTGCACCTTGTCATTATACAAATTGGCTAACACTCAAATACACACACTTTCAGCTTCAATTAGTACACAAATAGCATCTAAGTAGTCAAGAAATCTTGACGAAATCACTCAATCAAAATTGTATCATTGTTACAACATTCATGTAATAAACTATACACACTAACTTACGCTTAGAACCCCTCTGTGGCTACTGCCGGTTCCGAGCCCAGATAAAGGAAAAGGGTTGGGCATGAAGTTAGCGACCCCATCCCTTACAAAACTAACTCACTAAAAGCACGCTAACCAGAAAAACCAATTCAAACCAGTAAATCGACTAAATCTTTTGTTTATAGAAATTAATCATAGGGGAGAGAGTGTATGAAACTTTGAAAATATTTAATCATCAGAATAAAAAAATAAACCCCATTGTCCTAATTTAGATAAAAGGTGAGCAACAGAAATGATAATTGGAAAATAATAATTAGCAAAAAACATATTTTTTGTAAAAAATTACAAGGGGGGGAAATGTGCTAAGGTCATGATGACGTGAAGACTATAACAAGGTTTTTTGTGGATATAACTCTGGTTTCACTTAGTCAATCCTTGAATATTCTTTAATCGCTGTAAAGTTATTTTTAGTATGAATTTCGTGAAATCTATAACTGTCTTAAAAATGATTTCAAAGGAAAATTGAATATCAGGAATCTTCTGTGTATTTCAAAATAAAAGGTTTAACTGATCCGAAATGCTGTGCTCTAAAATACACTGTGATATGTTTTTGTTTGTTAAAAGAAAAAGTCTCGATGAACAAACTGCGCCAGGTCTTAAACAGGTATTAATTGTTTATGATATGTCTTGGGCACCTCTAACTGTCACCTACTGATAAGTACAGTGCTAATAAGAAGATATGAAGTGACCAAATGATGTTCAGATATCAGTTTATGGAGCTACTAACTGTCGATGTGATCCATATCTGTAGGTATATGCTCCTTGGTTGGAGTAAATTCAACAGTCATAATATATGATTCTAGACAGCAGGTGACATAACTTAAATTCGACCATCACGACGATGATGTAATCATAGTTTATCTTCCTCCAAGTTTGGAGCTTAATGTCAATTCACACTTTACTTCCCCCAACTTTATTATTTACTGTTAAATCATATTTTTGATATATTCACTTTTCTATTGGAGTGGATATTATTATTTCTCCTCATATGCTGACAAACATTATTATTTCGTTTATGGTAATAGAAGCGATTTAAATTAATAAACATTTCCCCTTAGGTTTTACATTGTCTATGAATAACTAAATTAACTAGTTATTTATTTTGTCATGATGACATCTGTTCACTTAATGTTTTAAAATTAGTTCCATGAGGAAAATTTACAGTTTGGCAAACTTAGTCACTCCCTTACTTATATTATAAGTGAGTTGTCCTGATGTAACAAAGGGTCAATTAAATTAGGCCAGTAAACAATGAATATGGTCATTCGAAATAGGAAATGATTACTAGTAATGAATTGAAAATGAATCTGAATTTAAATATCAGTTTGTCAACCTTACTAATGAAACCAGATAATTATAGCTATTAAGATAAACCGATTGAATAGAAATGTTTCTCACTAATCGTTATTATACAATTTTATCTGGTTGTCATATAATTGTTACCTGATTTTATATAAAAAGGATATAACTAATATTATTTAAAAGTTAAATGGTTATATTTGTCAAAACATGACTGTAATCTTTATTGGCTAGTGCTGTAGTAATTGAGACTACTGCACAAGGTTGCTCAAAATATACTATCTACTAAATTTCTATGGAATATTAGGTGGTTTGTAATTAGTAATTGAGTTCTTTACCTGATCAAAATCAGCGTCAATATATTCACTATGGGAGTCTTGTTGGTCTACTTATAAAAACTTATGAGCTGTAGTACTGTTCAACGGAATATGATACAAGGTAGTCGGTTTGACTATTTTTGAATATGCTGCAGATGATCAGGCAATCACGATTACTGTAAACTTAGAAATCATTCCACACTATGCATCATTTATTTATTTTCACTGTGAAATTAGCTTTTCATCTTATTAGCTTCCTGTTGTTTTCTTTAAATATGAAATTTTCAACCTAATCCCAATGGAATTATTAATTTTAATTTACCAAAGAATAGCTGAATAATTGGTCTGTTTTCTTTGTCCTTTAACCCGTTTTTAGACGCAAACAAAGATCGAGAAGACGATATAATTAACTAAATAATGATGATGATTGTTATCCCGAACCAAAGTATGAATAGACACTTCTACCGTGTATAATATAGAATCAAGTAAGATAAACGACCATAACAATAACAGGAAACAAAATGATTCTTATCTAAGAAAATATAGCTTCCTTGAAAATTAAAATACATATCGCTGATGAATTTGGGATTAATTAAATATCCTTTAAAATCAGAATTATTCCTTAAAGTTTTAAGTTGAATGAAATGGAACATATTACTCCTTATTGAGTCATTTAGAACAATGGTCTGATTTTCACTTGATCTGTAGAATTGAATAATAAGTAAAAACAAATATAGGATTTGTTACTACTGAAGGATCAATCAGTGCAAATATGTTAGTCTCATCAAATATTGACGGCTGCCAGAACAGCCCAGTACAAACATGATAAAGTTTGACACTAGGTGACATGAGTATGAATCCCACAGAATGTACTAAGGCATTCAAGGCTGATAATACGCCCTACTTAAAAGTCTCAACTAACACGAAAATGTTTGTACCAATCACTACCAACTACCGAGTATCAAAAGTTATCTTATAACAATAATCATCAAATTTTTCCATCTTACTTACGCCTGTTACCCCTCGTGGAGGAGCATAGGCCACCCACCAGCATTCTCCATCCATGTTAAGTTTAATTTGTTTATTCTGGTTAGTGTTTTATTTAGCAAGGTTGTTTTTTACGGGATGGGATTATTGACCATATGCCAAACCCTCCTACTTTACCCAGATTTGTGACCGAAAGTAATCCTAGAAGAGCTAAAGGTGGAGTTGTCCACTTACTCAAAAAAAAGTATAGACAAAACTAATCTAATCAAAAGTAAACCAATATATTTATTGTACTAGAAATTACTATTCCAACTTTCACGTGTGTGTGTGTGTGCTCATATCACTGTTTTCATTAATGAAAAAGAGAGTTAAATACAATTTGTAAATATGCACAAATTATATTCGTAGTTAGTATAAGTTTTATTGTTATGATTATATACAACAGGGACTGTCTTGTCACTTTCATGGAAAGAATTATATATAAATATTGTCATAAGTTCAATGAGGAGAATAATAATTTATTAATCAGAACAAATTAGAAATAAAAGATAGTAAAACATGGTAGATTTTTCTCGAAAGCAAAACAAAAGTGAAAAGAGATGGTTGCATAAGATGAAGTAACGTAAACACTGGTGGTAAAAACAAACAAATTCGAAAAGAAAGTAAATAAATGAGGCAAGCATTACAAGTAGATTTCTGTGGGAAAAAAATAAAGGAATTTAAAGAAAGGCGATAAACTCCCTTTGGTAGATTATTTTATTTATTCACTGGATCTTGTTTAACAACAGATCATGAAGAATAAGTAATGGTGACTATGACATACTTATCCGTCTAGATCTTCATTGTATATAAGTTGTATGTGTATGTTTACACGTGTATGTATGTGTGTAGTTTATAGAATCTGTTACAAATACTTATTTATGATCAAATAAGCAAATAATTGGAAGAATACACAATAGAAACGTTCAATAACAAGATAAGTGAATAAAATAAATTATTTTAATGTTTCCAAATGTATTTTTGTAAGATAGTCAAAGAGAAAACAGAAACATCGTCAATATTGAATTTTATTTTAGAAGAAATAAGTGAATAAAAGCTATGATATTTAATCACATGGTCCCCAGTTTGATATGGGCACAAGGGGGAGGGGGAAGAGTGATAGGTGATTAGGATGTATGAAAAAATAAAAGCAGTATAAATTAGCTGATTGCATACTATATATATTATCCAAAAGAAAAATGAGTTTTTCATTGTATTTATTATCAATTAGCCACAGCAGTATGAAAATTAATTGAGTTATTATCGGTAATAGTAATAGCAGTAATGTAAGTAATATATTCACATAAGTAGTATAGTAATTAAAAATTATTTTAATGTTGAATATATATTTTTGAAGTGGAAAATTTGAAAAGAACATGTTTCTTTCTTTTTAAGTGTCTGTTAATGAAAAGAAAGACCTGATGATATGTGGTCATACTAAATAACTTAAAAGATTACCCATATAACAGAGACTTAAATACACGATGAATTCAGTAGTGAGGTGGAGTATTTAAGTATGCCGAGAAAAATGTATGTAAAAAAATTAATCGTGTCCGTTAAAAAAAACAGAGAGGAAAAATCTGTAGAGAATACGAAAAAGAAAAACAATTCAAAGTTATATCATTTTATTTTATTCTGATTCACTGAGTAGACTAGATCGATTCACTAAACCTGTTGACATTGGTAATGTACCTTGATTAATTTCAAGTGTTCTAGGCACATCATAAACATGACTACCTGTAATGGAATATGGTGATCCAGGCGCTACAAGCCAATTTGTTATATGTGGTTGTGTATTAGTTAAAAATGGTGACAATGCAACAGTATTTGTTTCATTATTTAAAAGATTTCTTAATTTATTTTGTTGTATTAATGGAGTTGATGTTAATAATGCTAAACTTTGTTGTAAATCATCTGTACCTGAACCAGATGATGAAGCTAAATGAATTGGTAATGATGGTGGTGATGGTAATGGAGGTAAACCATTACCAGTACAAGTGACTGTTAAATATTGATTTGTAAGATTTGGATATTGATTTATTTGTGGTGAAAAATTACTATTATTATTGGTAGTAGTAGTAATGGTAGTATTAGTAATATTAGTATTAGTAGTAGTAGTAATAATATTATGACCATGTAAAGTTGATAAAATCATTTGTGAATAAGGATTTGTGTGTGTTCTTATAAAATTATATCCATTCTCATTTATTATATTTGATGAATGTATACCATTTAATTTAATTGGTGTATTATTATTATTATTATTATTTTGTTCTATCATATTAGTTTCATTATTTATTAATTTCACTGGATGATATATTGATTTTGTATCATTTATCCCAATAGTACTACAACTTGATGTAAATTGAAATAATTTATATTGTTTACATAAACGTAAACATTTCGCACTAATTAATAAAAATATTAATGTAGTAAGAAATGTACAAATTACTGCAATAGACATTTCTAATAATGTAAATTGTTTTTGATATAAATAATATGATTGATCATATAAAATTTCATTACGTAATAAATCATCTGATTGTTTTATATAATAATTACGATGATTATTATTATTATTATTGGTATTGGTATTAGTATGAGTATTGATTAATTCATGATCAATCGATAATGTATTATTAAATTTTGGTAAATTAATTAATTCTGGTCCTTTTAATGTAACTATTACCTCTTCTGTTTCTTTTTTATCATCCCATGTAGTACATGTATATTTACGTGGTTTTTTATCTAATGTAATATTTAATTGAACTGTTGCTGATGGATTATCAATAGTTGAATTCATTTGATATAAATATTCATTATTTTGATTATTATTATTACTATTTGAAGTTAAATATCTTACTTCACGTAATTGTCCACCTTCTATATAACGCCATGCTACACCTGGTGGTGTATGACTTAATATTCTATTAGATGTAATCATATTTATATTATTATGTATTAAATTTTGTGTATATTTTGGTATAGTAACTGCTGTACATGATATTAATGCTCGATTAGTATCTTCTAATACATTAATATAAATTTGTTGTATACGTGATGTTGGACATAATTGTTCCGGTGTTAATTTTACTAATTCATATATATTTTTTATTTGTATAGAATTTTCTTTTCTAGTTAAATGTATACATGTCATATTTAAACCAGGTAAACTATCTTTCCAATCAATACTACGTTGAACAATCCATGATAAACGACAATTACATTCTAATGGATTCCCAGTTAAATCAAGTAATTTATTTGGTTTATTAAAATATTTTTCAAATCCATCATCAATATATGTAATACGATTATCAGATAATATTAATCTATCTAAACTAGGTACTTTATTAAATATATCATAATGAATTGATTTTATACGATTCCCGCGTAAATTAATTTGATTCGCTGATAAACCATGAAATGAATCTTCTGTAATAAACATACCATTATCAGGTAATGAATGTTGTTCACGTAAATATAAATTATTTAATTGTAAACCATAAAATGTATAAGATTCTATACGTATTAATGAATTATGGGATAAATCTAAATGTTTTAATTCAATCATTTTAATAAATGTACGTGGTTCAATTACTTGTAAATTACAATATATAATACGTAAATATTCTAATTTTTCTAAACCAGTCATATTTGCTTGATTTAATGAATTTGGTATAGGGAAATCACTTTGTTGTATAAATAATTTTGTTATACCATTTGGTAAATTTGTTGGTACACCTTGTAAATGATCTTGTCTATCACAATGTACTACATTTTCACCTTTAGGACAATGACATTGATTTTCACATAGACCTGGTTGTATATATTGAGCATTTAAATAATGAATAATAAAGATTATAATTATGTAATAAATTAGAATAATAGAAATATTGAAATAATTTGTTATATATAATTGTCCACGTATTGAGAACATTTTGATTTATTATTATTATTATTATAAATTGAGAATTAATTGTGATCAATTATTGAAAGATGTAGTTTCATTGAAATATTCATGGTTCTTGTTATATTGTTTGTTTAAATATTCTGAAATGAAATGAAACAAATTCAATTAGAAAGTATTACATTGAAACAAGGCTATATGAAAACCTGAAAGCAATAGATGGCAATTTCGTTCTAGTATAAGATTGAGTGAAATTAGATATGAACACTGTTGGATTCTAGATGAATAATCTGAAGGTTAAGCGTTCTCTAGCAAGAATAAAAGTTCGGAGTTTGACTCCTGAGTTCAGGATCGTGAAGTTCCATACTAAAAAAACGATCGTCAGTTGCTTCTAGTTTTTCACTGATGGTCTAGTTTCAATTGACTTATAATCTCAGCCATTGAAATTACTACAATATCCACAAAAAACCCTTCTGACATAAATCTATAATTTCAATAGTTGAAGCTAGACCACCATGGAAAACCTAGAAGCACTGGACGATCGTCTCGTCCTAGTATGGGACTACTCAGTTGTGCGCATCCACGATCCCGCCCCCCCCCCGCGAGATTCGAACACAGGACCTATTAGTCTTGCGCCAGGAGCTTAACCAACTAGACACTGAACCGGCATCCAACGGTGTTAATGTCTAACTTCAACCAATCCCCAAAGTTGAGCAACGGTCACCATTGTCTTCAATGAGCTGATAACTCACAACAGACCTGGTTGAACTCCAATGGTCACGGCTTCTCACTAGAACTCCAGGAAATGCCTCTTGAAGTCAGTCACTATAAACCAGATCTATAATAATCCCCACAATCCTATACTGATAATTAAAATCTTTATCGATTAAATCAAGTCGATTTGGTGGGAATTATTTAGTGAATAATGACGTAATTTTAAATATACACAAATAGGAGGTGGTTTACACTATAAAACATTGTATTCAGTTATTTTGAAGATTTTTTGCATATCACCCCTATTTACATTCAGAACAGATTGATTTTACACAGATTAAATAAACTTTATTTTTCAAACTTAATTAATAAAGAGATTAAATCATCAATGGATTACACGTACTTGGAAACAAAGCTTATTGGAATAGGTCAGTAGTCAACTATTAGGTACTTTACTCTGGTTCGTAACCTTTAGTCTGGCAGATTTTGTTTTAAACTGTACATAATTTGTTTATAAAAATAGGAGTAGATCATGATCTTTATGAAACATTTGAACAAACCAAGTCATTAATGAATGGGGAAAAGTAAATGACCGTCAATAATATTCCATTATGATTGTACTTAATATCAAACAGACTAGACAAAAAATATAGCTTACACAACAGATTTTTACCTGTTCTCTAGAAGAATGGCAAATTCAGAGCTTCATCATTGAAACACTTGATCTTATCTACTTTTAGATCATATTTTACAAGCTACTCGGTACATTCTAGTCAGAACAGTCAAGTAATATCAGTAGCTTCTACATAAACTTATTTCTATTGAGTTATATTCTAAGTTCTAACATATCTATTCGATTACAGATATATATTCACTACAATTAAGTTTATTATTATGATGAAAAGTACTCAACGTAAGTTCCTTATCATTATTATTTTAATTAAAACAACAACAACAACAACTGACTATCATGTATTTTGCATGAGTAAAAAACATAACTACTGATTAATTAAAGTGAGTAGAACTATTTGAAAGGATAAATTGTAAAGAAGAAGTAAATCTATGGTATAAATGAATCATTCGATAGATTGTTTTCCCAATATGATTATAAAAAGTGATAATAATAATAATAACAATAATAATACGAAACAAGAAGAAATATACACAACAGGAATTGTATTATACTAACTAGATAGAGACATAGACGTTAATGAAAATTTACTTCAGTGATATATTTAGTCGGTATATATGAGTAATTTTGCACTTGTACACGTACTAAATATACGATGTGTATAAAGTTGTACGTTGTGTGTGTATGTATGTGTATATGTGGGCGTGTACGTAAAACAATTCCATACTTTTGTTTTTCACAGAAATTTAAACTGTAAGCCTCTAAGTAAATCTGTCAATCATAAGATGAGAAAATTTGATAATAACATGTATATTACATTAATGAATAAAGACCAGTATTGAAATTTTTCATTTAGATTTTCCTAATGGTTAGTTTTTTTATTTGTTTTTGTTATAGGAGGAAGGACAAAATATCGACTATATAAAAATATCAGAAGGGATTTTGTGGATATTATAGTAATTTCAATGGTTAAGATCATGAGTCAATTGAAGCTACACCACCATGGAAACCCTGGAAACACTGGACGGCTGTTTCGTTCTATTGTGGGACTCCTCACCAGCGCGCATCCATGATCTCGTCCCCGCGAGACTCGAAATAGTAAAATAGTAAAAAAAGAGAAACAATATTTTCCATAGCACTATTACTTTTGTTTTCCATTAAGTATTACAGAAGGGTTATAATAGTCATAGAGAGAAAAGATTTAGGTATACTATTTTTTTAAAAAGTGGGTGAATCAAAAATGAAGTTACCATCCTAAATTTTACATTACAATGTTACAATACAAAGTTGAATTTTATATGGTTAATTTGTAATTTTTTGATTACTTATTAAAAATGGAACTTTGAAATTATAGTTATGTTTCTAAGTAATTAATTTCATCGATTTCTAAAAGGGTATATCAATTAATGATATGAAGTAGATACAGTCTTTGGTGAGATTTTAATTTATGGACAATCATTGAGTGATGCTAACGTAACCATGAGAATGTTCACATACTAACTAGGACTAATAAAAGGTTATAAGTCAATGTGAGGAATAAGAATTATTATTTACAGTTGATGGTTAAGATTAGTAATTAGATGTATAGTTTTCATCATGAACTGACACTAGCTAAAATGCTAAAACATTATTTAACCAAATGGGTGAATGAATTTCGCATCAAAACCCGAGACCTATTATCTTATATCTGATCGGTTCGTTTATAAATTATAGTCTCGCCCAGTTTTTTTCTTTTTCAGTCATATTGATTATATTGTGGGATACTATTAAAATTTCTTACAGCTTCAACGTGATCTTAATCAGGAGTTGATATAATTTGGACAAGTATAGTCAAACAGGAGAATGTTAAATAAATGTTCTGACTTAGTTTATCACTTCTTTGTTGAGTCGTAATTGTATGTCTGTAATAACCTCTAAAGTAGGATAAAATGATTACATAAATATGCTGCTTAGATTTTCTATGGATATTTTCAATTGATGTCATTTCATGAGGGATAACTTTCGTTATATTCAATTTTTAGTAATTGAAGTGGTATTTTGGATGGATAACTTGAAGATCTTATAGGAACCCTTGGGAAAAATCATGAAATAAAACGACGCTTCACTTATAATGTTGTTTGATTACTACCATATATCATGAATTAAATCAGGTCAGAAACTTAAAACGGTTAAATTCCAGCTTAGTTTGTTAAAGATACTCTGCTGTGTTAATAACACTAAGTTCTTTCCGGAGAAAAATCTTATTATGAATACATGTTTGTACACTGTTAATCAGTGCACATTACCGCTTACTGCTTTCCAAATAATTCTCTAAATGATGTCGATTTGTGATAAAATATTATTTTTAAAAATTTTTATGAATAATGCTAATAATCCATTTAAAAAAAGATCTATAGACATATTTGAGATTATCCGATATATTGTATTCTATTACTAGTAGAAATTGACTAATTTCAAAAGTTGAATTCATGTGTCGATCTTTGCTAGATCAGCATTAAAGGCCTGCAAGCGCTGAACGGCCGTTTCGTCCTGGTATTGGACGACTCAGTAGTGTATATGTACGATCACGCATGCGGGACTCTAATATATGACCTTCAGTCTCATGCGCGAACACTTAACCTCCAGACCACTAATCCGGCATCCAATTGTGTTAATATCTAACTTCAATCCACCTAAAGGTTAAGCGTTCGCACACTATATTCAAGTCCCGTATAAGGAATCGTGGATGTGCATTCCTCAGGAGTCCTATACTAGAACAAAACGGTCATTGAGTACTTCCAGGTTTTCCATAGTGATCTAACTTACATCGACTTATAAATTTAACTATTAAAATTACTACAATTCCCATAAACCCCCTATTCTTATAAAACTTTCAAAAGGTCTAGAAAATAGTTAACAAATAAATAGAGTTTTGTTTGCTTGAAAAAGAAAGAAAAATTGCTTGAATACTTTATTTTCATAAGTTTTTATTTATTTTAATCATGTAAAGGAGATAAATAAAAAGAATAAATAAATAAATATTTATTTATTCCATAAAACAGGTGAGAAAATAAACAAATTCTCATTTGATTTAATACATAAAATTACATCATTCTTGAAAAATTTAGTCATCTAACAAGTATAAATTTAATAAATGGCTATAGGGAATCATGAGGATGGTTCATGGGTGAACATGAAGAAGCTCTAAGAAGCTCAGAAAGAGCTGAAGAAATTCCATCCAATTATCTTTTAGAAGAATATTCCAGAATCTCTACGTATAGCTTCCCTATTGGACGAATGCTAATAACCCCCTGTATGCGGATTGGATAATTATAATGATTTCGTTTTTATTGAAAACTACAAATACCTGACAGTTTTGGACTATAATTTACACTGTTTTGGAATAGTATCCCTTTTACTTGTTTTCCGTCTTATCGTTTGCGACTTGGGAGGGTTCTAGCGTTCGAGTGCCCAAGTTTGACACGGCACATCAAGAATCTAAGCTCTAGATATAACAGGAATGTTTTTATCTATAGAGTATTATTAGTTAAATCTGTTTTTATAAATAGCTGAATTGATGAGTCGATCCAAACTAGACCACTATTGAAAACTTGGAAGAAATGGCTTTCAGGTTTTCAATGGTGATTTAGCTTAGATGAACTCATTGACTATTAAAATTACTACAATCTCCACAAATCCACATTCTAATTACAAATAACTGTTGACTTATTAAGTAATTCTCATCATGTAAGCTCTCAGAAGAGACAGTAATTATTGAATGAATATTTTAATTCTGTTTAGGACATGTTTATTAATACC